AACCTTACAGCCTTGAACAATGAGAAAAACCCCTACCATAGAGTCGGCTATAAAAGGCCCCAACATGAAAAATATGAAACAATTCAATTGAGAAAACTAATGGCCTAATTTATAACAAAACAATTTACGAAAATCAATTATGACAGACATGAACCAACGACAACCACTGAACTACAGGCTCCTGACTTGAAACAGGCAAATTATAAAAGAATGTGGCGGGGTTAAACATGTTTGTGAGCGCTCAACCAGCCCCCTAACCTGGGACAGTGATGTTACAGCACAACATAAGAACAAAACTGTAAAAATCAGTTGAAAAAGGTTTAACTCATCAAATATATACAAAGCAGAAAAACATCAAACAAAAACACAGATTGGACGTTGCAGGGTATTTATCCATCCCTCATCCCTAAAAACAAAAAGGACACTAAGTACAGATCTGAGAGTACTGGCAGTTACTGACAGCTAGTTCAAAGAAGCCAATAACAACTAATAAAAAAATCATGTATCTAAGACTAAAATATTGATCAGTACACATCCAACATCCAATGGATTTAGTGTAAAGATGTCATTAACAGTCAGAGAAAAACATGACCATGTGTATTCCGCAAAACCTTTCGGAAATATGAGTCCTCAATGCTCTTCAACTCCATACTTTATTTGGCCTTTCGATTTGAGCATCACTGAAGAGTCTTTTGTAGAAAAAACATGTTTCTATACAAAATAATAAGCCTGGTATCTTTGATGAGTTTATATTGATAAAGTAATATGGTGAAAATCATGATTTGAACAAAAATCTTCAATGTTTTCTTTGTTTTCATATTACCCAAAATGTGATATATATATATGTTTATTATCTTCCTTTAGGAGATTATGAATATACATGAATATAGATACAAAATATAATATAATACAAAGCTACCATGTAATAATGAGAATATTAAGATGAATAATTAAATAAAATAAATGAATAAATGAATAAATAGTTAACCTGATAAATAATTAAATAGATAATTAAGTAAGTAGAATAAATAAATAAATGTTCAGATAATTCAATTAATGTCTATTTAGATATTTCAGATGTAATAACTATCAAATTAACTGTCATATTCCTTACATAACCTATTGATAAACTTTACACATGAGTACATGAAACTGTCTGCATCTGTTTTTTTCAAGAAGGAAATTTTTTTATCTGTTACATGATAGCAGAGTTAGTGTCAAATATGTGTCTTCCATATCATGGAGCGTTGCGCTAAACTCAATGGGTCAAATATTAATTAGATCTATCCAAATTAAGTCTCTTGTTGATGATACACTACAGCATTGTATAAAATGTGTAAAATTGCATTGTCATAGAAAATAACCACACTTATGGCATAACAGAAATTCCGTATCAGGTTCGTTTGGTATAACCAGAACACACAGAGATTTGACAAATTGTGCTTGAAACTTCAGAGATCGGTACTGGCGCAAGATAGTCCAAGCACAATGTGGTTCAATAGAGTTATGAATACTTAGTTTAAAGTATTCGAAGTCACAATCACTATTTAGGCGTTGTTTGAGAGAGTTCTCTTCATACTCGTATACACGTTTTTTTAACTATTGATTTCCATTGGTTCTGCACAGGAAAGTAGCTCATCAACAATAGTTTTTTCGATATGGCCCACTAAATCATATTTCTGCATAATCTGGATGACATCATTCACAAAGCCAAAGTTATTTTTGGTACTTTTGTGGTAAAACGTTACATCAAAAGTCTTGACATAAGAACCTTTTTCAACAAATATTGAGATGGCATATTGCACAGCCTTCCAAAGAATAACAACTATGAACTTATTAATGTTAATGATACTTTCAATAGGAATCCATCCTAGCAATGAAGTACACTTGTCAGTTCTGGTCAAACCTTGTACGTATTTGCAAACATACCGATGCGTTCGTTCGTTCAAATAAGTATTATATTAATAAATACTTGTACCGTACATGTATTTGAAAGTATTAATTGATCTCACAATTCTGGCAATTGAATTATATTGATAATTGCATGCAATAATTTCTAAATTTATATTGTATTACAAAAGTAATTCTTTGACAAGTCAGGTTTAATAACCCAAACATTTTTATTTAGAAAATTGGACTTGCTGAACAAAAATTTAATGAACAATGGGATAAAGATGACAACCCGATCATATTATCCTCAGGTTAACATGTTTCAAAACTTTAGTTTCAGTTGTAGACAGTAATATCCCTGTTTTCAAAATTGCTAAAGATTGAATATGATAATTTCTTATGTACATTTAATTCCTATAATATTGATAAAAGTTTAAGTTGATGTTATTTTTTTCTGTTGTTGGGTTACTGTCGCTTAAACCTTTTCCTCGTGTTATTCATTTGCACATCAAAAAATTAGTTTTACTTTGTGTACCTTCACATTTGTCTTTTAAGAATCCCAAACTCCCCATTTGAAGCCTCTGATTTGTTTGGTAAATTGACAGGTAAATTAGATGCTTTTTTAATGCAGACACATGTCAGTTTGCTTTATCTATCAGCTTTACAATATTATACTGATAGACTTAAAAGACTTTATAGAAAGTCAATATTTTGGTTTGAATGTTTACATTTACTTCTTTGTTGAATAAGTTCCATGGAATATATCCACTTATCTTGTTTTTGTTTGTTTATATGGAACACTTTATTGTTCTAAGATCCTTTTGGAAAGAGAACATCTTTTTTTTCATTTCCATATTTGATTTCAATCCCATTTAAAGAATGAACAGTACTGGAGGTAGGTTGCATACTGTGCAGTTTACTGGTAATAAAGTACAAGTAGACAATACAGGTATGTATTGATTGTCAAGTCAATTCTATTCTGTTATTCTGACTTTTAAAAGTAAAGGCATTTTTATAATTCTCTGATAACTGTCTTCTGCTTTATTCAAAGTTTGCTTATGAGGACATTAGAGAATACAAAAGTTATAAATATTAAAATCTTCTTGCAAGCGAACTCTCCTCATGTGTGGAAAGTTGTTGGTTACATTTCTGGCTGGATATATCAAATCAGAGATCTTTGAATTGTTAAAGCTGCTTCTATGCTAAGCATGTGATATTTAAAAGGAAGAGCAAATATTACTTGTATGGGTAAGTTTACATGTCTTCCCTAGCCTCTTGTTAACCAAGCACATTAAAAATCTAATTCAGAGTGTCTGTCTAGTACAAAGCAGATTTTATGATATCATATTAACATGCTATTATCCTGATTATGTATTATTATATATTGCAGACAAAGAAGGCATCAATCTATCAATGTCTTATGGACATTTCCTTATATAAATCATTAGTATATCAGTTCAAGACGGAAACAAAAATCCGTTAAAAGCAATGTAATTTATACTTGATTTGAATATGAATTCCAAGTGAACCAAATATTTCAGCCAGCATTATACCAATCTTATAAACCCACATTCTATTCTGTATGACTGGTAGAAAGACATATATTATTTGCCAAGCCAGTTCTCTAATTGTTACATATAGGAATGATTAAAAATAAACTGATTAGTACTAATACATACAAATCTAGGGTACTGTTTTATTTAGGTATTACAGAGTATTTATGATTTTAATGCCATTAGTGGTCATCAGAGGTATGCAATAATAGGCTTAATGTAATCAAACAGGATCATCAAATTTTATATTGAATACGAAAAAAGACGTTGGGTATACATCAATGTGACAGCAACCCAATGACAAAAAAATAATCAGAAGGCATTTAAAGGGCAACTGTTCCAGTCTTCAACAATAGACAAGTGTCCAGGGTCAAAATGTTGTCACCTTGATTTCATGGTTAATGACGTGTATTGGTAAGGTTACAGGTTTGGGATAGTTTGATGTGTTGCAGATCATAGTGTAACTTCATCATAGAATTTTATAAAGTAGGTGTAACGAAGGAAGATGTGAGCTTGCAATGAAAATTTGTTTGTTTGTATAGAAATAAATTCATGTGTTTTCCTGTGTAAAGTTTGTGCTATTTCTTAAAGTAGAAAAGATATAGAAATTTTAAGATCCATTAGGATGATGTGACCTTTTATTTCATGGTTTAATGATCAGGGTTAAGTCTTTGGTTTAAGTTTGTTGTTATTAGATAATGCAAAGTAACTCCAACAAAGAATCAAGATAGCTGGTGTAATTCCACTGTTGTGGTTCAGAAGTCAGTAGTTTATGGATGTGTTATCAGAATGCAATTTCATCAAAGGATATGCCACTATGATAAATGCCATTGAAATATGTCAAATAATGGCTCAGGGATATTAGAAACCCTTTTATAGTTAAATGTAGGCAAGCAGAGCTGCTAAGGAGGGCAATGTGGCCATTGGCAAATGTTATTTTTGTTTCATTATTGTTTTGTATTCCTTTTGGCAAACATATTAACAATTAGTAGTAGACTAAAGTGTCTTAATAATTTTTTTAGAACTGTAAATGATCGTAAATGGCATTGAAATACAAGTTAGTATTTAATTATAGAATGCACAATATTTGACATGACATATGAAAACAAAAAATCGCAATCTCAACCTACTGAAAAAAGTGCAGTGTTTATCTAAATCTTAAATCTGGTATTAAATTAAAACACAAGGGGAAAATGTTTTATTTTTAAGTTAAACTGTAAGTGATATATTGAAATAAAAGAGGAGATGGCATACGTCCAGTAATTTAAATTATTTTGATTTTAAATTCACAAATGACTTGAAAGCATACAATGTAACCAAAAGACATAAGTTGATCCTGGTAAAATACTTTAAAGATATTGGCATGAAGCCATGACAAAGTATTATTGTAATAAGGGCCATAACTGTGACCATGACTGTCATTGATTTTTACCATTATTGTTCTAATGGAAGTTATTGAAATCTACCCAATACCAACAGTGTCAAAATCATGGGTCATCTCATGTGTGTAATTTGTTAAGCACAACACTCACACATACAGGATTTAACAAAATCATCTTACATTTAAAATTCTTGTTGTGAATTATTTAAAATCAGCTGGATTGCTTTAATAATTTCATCCAAATCATGTCGAAAAATGGGAGAGTGAAATTAATCAAATGAAAGAGTTTGTCTAGTGGAGTTAAGGAGTTAAGGAATTTGACTTTGAATAGAATATGAAATCGATAGTCATGTTCATTCTTTTGATAATCGAATTATAGATACTTGACAGTGGTAAGTGTCAATATTCTTCTACAGCCAGAACTTATCTACAAAGATTACAGGAAAAGATTTTATTTTATATTTGAATTTTAATGTTATATGTCATATTTACATTTTGTAAAGAGAAATTGACAACATGGGTATTATAGTAATACAATGTAATACTGAATTGCAGGTACTTTTAGAAACATTTCATTACATCTATTTAAAGGTTCAATATGGTTTATCATGGAGATATCTTACATTCAAAATATCAGCCTGTACTGAAGTACACTTCATTACAAAATTTATACATTAAAGTAATCATAGCGGCAACTGCTAGATATCTGTAGCACTAGTTTGCAGTGTGGCATTTCATGCTGACTAGACTAGTTTTTTTTTGTTTGGCTATAAGATGCTGCATGAAGTTCAGACCTGGGAATCTAGCAAATGTTTACAATTGTTGCTTAAATTTTTGTATGGAATTTGAAGATCTTTCTGATGATATTGTTCTCTCTCAGTCTGTGAAATGTGGTAAATTTAATGTTTGTTTGTGTTAGTGACTGATACCTTTCTTTTTCAAACTGTGTGTTATTAGATAACAGTACATTTGCTACCTTTGACTTCTTTAGGCTTTAATGTAACATATTATGTAGCCATTACCTTTGACTGTTAAGGTACCAAGATTTATACATGTTTTGGTCTTGCATAGCTTTTTCTGTAGGGATACTTATAAAAAAACCTTGTTTGCACTTAGGTAACAGTACATTTGCTACCTTTGACTTCTTCAGGCTTTAATGTAACATATTATGTAGCCATTACCTTTGACTGTTAAGGTACCAAGATTTATACATGTTTTGGTCTTGAATAGCTTTTTCTGTAGGGATACTTATAAAAAAACCTTGTTTGCACTTTTAATGCAGCAGCAGCAGCACTGCATGAATATCAGTTCCGTCTGATCTCTCTTAATATAAGTGCTTTAAACCATTGCATGAATATAAGTTGCTTCTATGGAACTTTGAATTGTTACATGGTCTTGTATTGTAAGACTGTTGCATTAATAAAGGCTCCTCTTTCCTCAAATTTAAACAGATCAGTTGTTTACTTCTTATTCATTTCTGTTTGAAGGCATACTTGACAATATTACAAATTTATGTTTGTCTAGTCTGATCAGGCTAGTGGTCTTTCTTCTGATTGCAAATGTTATTCAAATTACATAAAGAAAAGTCCTATAGCTAAAACATATTTATACAGTGGGGGGCCTCATTGGCCGAGTGGTCTAAGTAGTTACTACTGTAATCACTAGCCAGTCAACACTGTGGTTGTGAGTTCGAACCCCACTTGTATGGGTGCACTCAACTCCAATCTTAATTGACTAGGATTGTCAGTTTTCCTATCGAAGGTCGGTGGTTTTCTCCGGGCACTCCGGCTTCCTCCACCAATAAAAACTGGCCGCCACGAAATAGCCCAAAAGCGGTGCTTAAAAGTGGCGTTAAAACACAAAAAATCAAATCAAAATCAAATATTTATACAGTGTCTGTAATTATTAATTTTGTAAGAAGTCCTTTCAGTCAATAGTGAACCCAACAGTGGTGTTGGCATGATGCATTATCATTGACAGATACCAAATGTAACATTGTTTTCAATTTTGTCTCCTCCTGAAAAGTAATCATTCATGTTTGTATATAAAGACATTCTTTCTTTCTCTTAATCATTTAAAAAAAAATGCAGTTTGATGTTATCTTCTAATGCTTCCTTCTTACTAAGGTAAATACAAATTAAGAAAATGAATACAGCTAACTAGTATAGTCATGTTTAGCCTTTGTATTGGAGTATGGAGTGTTCACCAAAAATGTTTAACCCCACCACATTCTATATGTAAAATTGAGAATGGAAATGGGGAATGTGTCAAAGAGACAACAACCCGACCACAGAACAGACAACAGCAGAAGGCCACCAACAGGTCTTCAATGCAGCGAGAAATTCCCGCACCCGGAGGCGTCCTTCAGCTGGCCCCTAAACAAATATATATACTAGTTCAGTGATAATGAACGCCATACTAAACTCCAAATTGTACACAAGAAACTAAAATGAATGTTCCAAGACAGGAGCCTGTAATTCAGTGGATGTTGTTGGTTGCTGTATGTCATATTTGTTTTACATTAATTGTTTGATGATAAATCATGCCCTTGGTTTTCTTGTTTCAGTTGTTGAACATTGTATCTTGTCTATAAATATATTAATAGCTTACTATACAGTATGGGGTTTGCTCATTGTTGAAGGCCTTACAGTGACCTATAGTTTAGCTTACATCCCCATCGGTCTCTAATGAATAGTGGTCTCATTGGCAACCATACCATACCTCCTTATTTTTTTTATTATATGACCACATTATTTTTAACTGAATATTGGAGAGACAAAAGATTCAATCTTCCAAGAGTTACATGTATACACCCAAAATAATATCAAATGGTAAATGTCAACATTAAAAAAAGGAATACTTCTGCATCATCAAAACAAATTTATTTGATGGATACAGGGTAATTAAAAAAAAAGTTCTCAACTCAAAGTAAGAATAAAAGGAGACAAATTGAGACAAAGTACCAAATTGACACAAAAACCCAAAAGACATTTAGATCAATATATGGTCTTCAACAATTAACTCAAGATACTGAGTTAGTACTGATAAATAGAGAAATGATAATACAGAATGATGTTTTCCTAAAAAAAATTGTTTTATTAGATAAGGTGCTCAATGTAGTGGTGAAATGTTTCGGTATTACATTATTGCTTTAAAGAATTAATGATCTATTTTGAGTAGTTCTGGGGTAATACCTTCCCACAGGAGATTTCTTATCTTGTCTTCTTTTCTTTGCAAATTAAATATCACATGGTTTAATCAGTATATTCCATAATCAATATAATGGTGATTACTGTCATAATACAGGTGATATATGTAGACCTTTTCATTCTATTGATTTATCAAATATTTTTCAGCATTTTGTCAACAAATAACATTTGGAAGTGGGATACTCAGAATATTGGGTAAGATTTGCAGTCAGGGTGGGATAAAATTGAATAGGGGAGAAAAGTTTTATTTATTTAGTATTCACAGAGTAGACGACACACAGTCCAGAATTAAGAGTTGTTAGTTGAAGGTATTGGAATGGTTACATTTTGATAATGGAAGGAGATTTAATGTTTTAGAATTTATGACAATCCGAAAAGATGATAAAATCCTCAAAGTTAACGAACTTTTAGGTGCTACTTTGAAAAATGGCACCTACTTTATCTTACTTTTCACTTCACTTTCATAAAACTAATGTTTTGGTATGGGTTCCTGTTTGAAAGAGCTTTTAAAACATATGTAGATGGATTTTTTGGTAGGTTTTCAGATGGCTTAGCTGTTATTGTGTTTCCTTTAGTTAACTTACATTAATATGATTATTTTTATGCCCCCGCCATAGCGGAGGGGGCATTAAGTTTTACCCTTGTCCATCTGTACGTCCGTCCCAAAGTTGGTTTCCTTTCTCTAACTTTAGTTTGCCTAAACCAAATGTTATAAAACTTGTACACAATGCTTATTACCACAAAACACAGATCAAGTTTGAATTTTGGTGGTGTCACTTTAACCATTCTAGAGTTATGCCCCTTTACAAATGGAAAAATTGCTGAATTTTTCGTTCCCATTCTCTACCTTTAATTTGCCTCAACCAAATGTTATGAAACTTATACACAGTGCTTAATGCTTATTACCACAAAATACAGATCAAGTTTGAATTTTGGTGGTGTCACTTTTACTGTTCTTCAGTTATGCCCCTTTACAAAAGGAAAAATTGCTGAATTTTTTGTTTCCCTTCTCTAACTTAAGTTTGCCTCATCCAAATTTTATGAAACTTATACACAATACTTATTACCACAAAACTCAGATCAAGTACAAATTTGGGTAGGGTCACTTTTACCGTTCTTCAGTTATGTCCCTTTATAACGTTATATGATATGCAAGCGGGGGCATCATCTGTGTCCCATGGACACATTCCCCATTTATTTAAGACTTAGGCTATTATTAATATCAAGTGTAACTGTCCTTCTTTTAACATACAAGATTACCTCAGCTATAATCATTGTGTTAAACTGTTATATAAATTCAGTTTTAAATTTAAATTGATCTTATTACAGACCTGGATTAATTTACGATTCAGATTATTCATTGGATTATTCAGATTGTATCTTTGATCAGTATTAAATTAGTATATATGTGGCATTTCAATCTTGCTTTATTATTAAATCATATAAAGTTGTTTGAAAATTTTCCATTAAAAACTTGTCATAGGATATTTTGAATTTTAGAAAATTTGAAATCCAAGAACCATTGAAGCATTTCATTGCATTATTTTATTCAACATTATTACTTAAATGTCTTACTCTTTTATATCATAGTGTTTAAATATCAGGAATAATTTAATAATATGATATATTAGTATGTATCTTTTTACTCTATCATGTCTGTTAATAAATAATAAATGGAGTTACCATTTTCATTTCTCTTGCTGATCAACAAAACAAGTAACAACAAATGATTTTTCAATGTTTCACCTTCTCACAGCTTTAAATATCAGTTCATTAATTTTCCATTAATTAATCATTTTTGTTATGGTTGTTTTTAAATAAAAGTTCAGTGATACAAAATATTATGATATATATATAACCTTTATTTTTAAAAGATTATAATGTCAACAAACTTAAACTAAAAATAAAATTTGATTTGCTGATTAATTGAATGTTTGTTTCGATCTTGCTTGACATCCTTTGGCAAATATTTTCAATTGTTGCAATGCCCAGTTGGTATCTGCCTATAGCAAATATATTGGATCATTATGGGCTGTATGGCAGTCATGCACATACTAGATTCGTAATGAAAAAGACCAATATTATTAAACATTGCCAATGAGAATGTGATCCCTCGTTTTAAGCAACCGAAACTGAATATCAGCAGAATACGGTATGAAATAATGCATGCTCAGTTATTTCTATTACTACAGAAAAATATTGTTAACTTTTTTTGTAAGACACTTAATTTACTTCCTGCATGGTCCTCCTCCACAAAACCAAGAAAAGGTTATTTTTATAATTTTTCTTACTTTAATTAATTTATTATTGATCAAACACAGCAAAATCAATATCATACCTAATTTCATGGAAAGTTTTTGTGATAGAAATTACTAATTTATTGGTTTTATTAGATATTTAATGCTGAACATGCATTTTCATTTGATCAAAATACATTTGTTCTATTCAAAGTTTGTGAATAAGTGGTAAAATGGCAAAGGGGACTCAAAACCAGAGGAAGAAGGGGCAGAAATTGAGAGAAAAATAGTTGTGGTGTTGTTGGTGATTACATTGGGGGGTGGGGTGGGGGGTGGGGGTCTTTGTTCTTTGATATGAGGAAGTTAAAGGATTCATGACACTTTGTATGACATTTGTTTGAAAAATTGGTTTTCTGATTGAACTTTTGAAGCATATATATAATTTATTTATGAGGTGACGACAGAATTTTAATAAGTTTGTCGAATCAGAGAATTAATGTTCATCCTGTTCTCTCAGGTCTGACGTCAACTCCTAGTTGCAGTAAACTGTGGTGTTTTTAAAAATTATTACTTTCTTTGTTATTAGATTCTTGGAAGAACCACCATGTTTAAAGTTATGTAATATATACAGTGAGGGTTGTAATGGGTTATTTTCCAGCATCATATTTTTTTTAACTTTATTATATGTGTTTCTGTGGTAAAAGGTCAATATTACCTTGCACATGATATCCTTATATTACATTTATTTATGTGCTAATTTCAATTATGAATACAGATTTTTATTTTATTAATCTCATTTAGGTGTAATTTTTTCAGTGATTTGGAACGGTAGTGGCCATTTGCAGTTTGATACATAGTTTGAAATCGATGATGATGGCCCTAAAAGTTAAATTCAACAGACGCCCACCATACCTATCACCCTGATAGAATATAGTACAGTAGCCCATAAAAAATACCATGAAATAACTATTCTATTCCTGTTTTGTACAGCCTCTTTCTCAAAAGAAGTGGATGTGCTGGAAATACAGTCGGGTTTAATAGCACATTGAAGAAGAATTATTATAAGAAACTTACTATAACCTTAAAACACTATCATTACTTAATAATTACTCAATGTAAAGAATTCATAGAAGTCATACGTGTTCAAGTTAAGCTGGTTCATATTTGTTGTTATAGTTGAGTTTGTTTTATTTCAGGGATTTCCAGTAATGGAAAACACCATGTAGTTCCAACAGCAAACTTCAGCTGAAAACTGATAGAAAGATAAGCTAATTTTTGACAATAACAACTTAAAATTTCCCAAAACACAGATGACGGCGACCATGTCCAGAAATAGGGTTTATAACCTTCTGTCAATGTCGCAGGCCCACAAAGATGTTACTGATGAACGCTATCGAGATTTACGTCGTCCTCGGAAAGTCAGATTCTTTGTAAATGGAGATCGCTACTTCAAAGGGAAGAAATTATACATTACCCCTCACAGATATTTTAACTTCAATGATCTTTTGAATGATTTGACTGGAAAGTTACCAAATAATTTAAATTTGCCTTATGGTGTGCGGCAAATCTTCACCCCCTCTGGAGGAAGACGTGTTACTGACATAGAAGACTTAAGTGATGGGTCGAGTTATGTTTGTGCTGGATTTGAAGGGTATAAACAGATACGCTATGGAAAGGCTGAATTAGAGCCTTGGTCATTAGGTAGGTTTAGATCACAACTTTATAAGTAGTTTAGTATAATGTTTGATGTAGATTTAGGCTTGGCACAGTGGTAAATTGACTTGAAGTTGTTCAGTGGAGATAAAATTATTGATATGTCCATGTATTTTTGTACCAAACATTTTAAACCATTTAACAGAACTCTTGCTATATAACCTAGGTATATTCCTTACTTGAAAATCTTTCTTTTTAATTCAGATATATCTAAAAGATATTAATTATTTCAGAACTTACTGACTTTTTCCTAAGAAACCTATTCAATTAATAGGTTCTTAACAGGTTAAGGGCAGGCTTAAATTATTTCTCTTTACACACTATATTTATGAAAATTATTCCTTTTGGAAGTTTATATTGAAGACATTATTTATTGAAATGCCATTTCTCTGAAAAGTTTTGATAATTCAGAATGGTTATATATATATCCACAGCAAAGAATATATAAAGAAATGAAGAATGTTATCAATTATATAAGAAATATTCATTGCTACCCTCAGTTATTCTTATATGTCTCCTAAAAACTTTTACAAATAATTTCGCAAATATTAAAAAGACTGTGGTAAAAAACAAATGTGTTTATTAACTTTTATCTGAATCTCTGTCTTTTAAATGTTTGGTTTATCCTTTTGATGTTTTTTTTTAAATAAGCTTCATTTCAAGTGGTTTTAGAATAATTACAATCAAAAGTAACCCCTAAGTTTATGCATATTTTGAACTAGGACCTTTTATTATGCCATAGACTGGAATTCTTTGGGACTTCTTCTGATATGTATATAATGTACATTTGAGAGAGAAAATATAATGGAAATTGAAAATTAATAGCAAATTATAGCTTTAAATAGAGAAAAAGAAAATGTTAAGATAAATTATCCATTTGAAGTTTTTGATGAAGGTCACTTGTATTCTCAGTTCTGTATAACAACCATGTATTCTATAAATTGATCTCTCCTTGAAAGTATATTCCTATTAAAAGTAATGTTTTACATTTAACATGTATCATATTTATATAATGTTTTTTAAAGATTGTTTATCATGTTTATGAAAACATCTTACTCAACCTGGTAGGAAATAACCAGGTAAATGCTAAAATGGTTTATAAAAATATTTTCACATTAATTTTATAAATCTCATGCTTGAAGATATTATTATTAAAACTTAACATGTATACATGTACATTATGAAAAAAAAAAACACAAACAAGATAAAACATAAGTATGCTGAAAGGGGATGCTTGGATTAAAGAATGTACATATTATATAAGTCGGGGCCTCGGTGGCCAAGTGGTCTAAGTAGTTCTACTACTGTAATCACTAGCCAGTCAACACTGAGGTTGTGAGTTCGAACCTCGTTCGTGCGGGTGCACTCTACTCCAATCTTAATTGACTAGGATTGTCAGTTTTCCTATCGAAGGTCGTGGTTTTCTACGGGCACTCCGGCTTTCTCCACCAATAAAAACTGGCCCCCACAAAATAGCCCAAATGTGGCGCTTAAAAGTGGCATTAAAACACCAACAATCAATCAATCATATTTTATAAGTGTTTAGGGAAAGGGAGATTTGTCATCCATGCTGGATTATAACCAGTTTCTCTTAGCATTGAAGGAAAGGGGCTCTTGTGACCCCTCTTGTTTTGATCTATAATTGAAGTCCCCAAGTAAATCTAAGCAGAAAACCAAGGTCTGATATGATTCATGTTAAGGCTAGGGAAGTGACAAATTGAATTAGAAAAGAAGGTATTGTTGGAACTGGTCCTTTATTGTAAAACTAAATTCAAGGTCTGTTTTGCTAAAAGATTATTAAACTAAAGAGCTTCTTGTATTTGCTTTGATTATATATAGGAGGGAGTGGGGTTGAGATCTAAATAAGCATGTTAACCCCACCAAGTGCTCTTGTGCATTTAAATAGTCAGGAACCTCATCATTGGTGTTTTTTGTATAACTTTATGTTTTTGTCATTAGGAGAATATGGTGATGATGGTGATGATGGTGTTGATTGTCTCTGTTTAATTTATTCAGAATTGTTTTAGAGCTAGACATATTATTTTGACATTTGTTTGTCATTATTTAGAGACTGTATTTTGACCTTTTAGATGGATTGTTGTCTTTGGGTTACTGTCTCATTGACATATTACCCTACATCTCCTTTTATTCAAACTTATAAAACAAAAATGGAAATCTTTGTTTACTAAAATACTTTCTAGGCCACAAAGGATTATTATGACAGTACATTTACTAGCTTTCACAAAAACAAAAGAAAAATACAAGTTTAAAGTCATGGTCCTCTGGTTTGTAAAACCTTTAGTAAAATTAAGATCAAAAATAAAAATCACTTATAAGTTGACAGGCTTAAGATAGGTATAGGTATTAGGATTACTGTTTGAAAGTAGAAGAGAAAAATCTCAGCATAAAACACTTTTGATTCTCCAATTTTTTTTTAGCAATTCCAATTTTTTATTTGAATTTGAAAATAAGAACAAATTGTATTTAGAAACTACAATACAGAAACCCCATTTGAAACCTCTTGATAAAATTAGTTTGTTTACAATCAATATACAGTGTAGTGAATTTGGAAAAAATGAAATTTGACACATGTTTGTTTGTAAATTGCAATCAATTTCGTTATTGGAAATTATTCAATAATTTTTTGATAACCTATATCTTATATTATTGTGTATTTTATTGATATGAATTTATGATATGGTGGTAGAGTGACGTAGATACAGGAATTTGACGTATGACAATTAAATCATTCAGTTTTACATATTAACAGGTTAAATAGTCTATTAGTATTGATCCAAAAAGCAATTTGAGACAATTTATTAAATTTCACAAATTTATAATTTTTTTAATATTTGATAAAATCAAATTCATTCTGAAGAGGATGCCATAGTTTACAGGGTGACCTTGGTCTTAGGTAATAGTTTTGAAGGTCAGGATCACACCATCAGTACATTTATTCAAATGATGTATTGGTCTTATTCAAAATTTGTACTAGTATTTTCTGTGTCTCCCTACTTTGACATGTCAGAAACCTTGAACTTTTTCAGAAGATTAAGGGAAATAAATCTGAGAACATTTTTATAAAAGGTGAAAGAATTGAAATTTTTAGTCTTGAATAATTTATGGTCTCATTTATGAACATTTCCTGTTTTTTTTTAACTTCAATTGAAATGTATTGTATTTAAACAGTATAGATATATTTCAACATGCAGTTTTTACAGTGTGAAAGATAATTAACAAAACAATAATTTGTCTAATGAAGTAAAACTAGTATTGTGTATTAAAGTTTTGTTGAAAGAATTGATGTTAGATATGTCAGTTATCGGAAATATTGTCCTATGTCACTGCTAAAAAGGCTTTGTCATTTAAGGCCTGATAAGATATTATATATTACAAAAATCTTATGTCGTCAAATGAACCTTTTTCAAAGTAATACATGGGCAAAAATAAAATTCCAATTCTTGTTTTCAAGAATGAAAAAAATTTCATAAATGTTCCCTGAATGTCCTTTTTGTGTGTGACTCTTAAGTAACCAATGCTGTAGCACTGCTATTAAGTGGCCTATGGTTTGTCTTTTAATTATTTTTGAAAGCCTAGTTGAGAAAAAATGCAAAGTGTTCCTACATATTGTTGTCTGAAACTAAATATTAGCTTGAAAACTTTTTAAATAATGTGAAGATCCCTTCTGACACCTTAGTATTATTTTAGTAAGTTTTAATGACTGTTTATACATGGAATTCTCTCCTGACACCTAAGGGTTATTTAAGCAAGTTTTTATGCCTGCATGTGAAGTTCCCCTCTGACCCCTTTGGATTATTTTAGCACATTTCTAGGCTTGTATCTGAAGTTCTCTTTTGACCCCATGGTCTAGCAAGTTTTGAATATGTATGTGATTAAGTTACCTTCTGACAGCTTAGGGAATTTTAAGTAAGTTTAGATATGTCTTACATGTGAAGTTCCTCTCTGACCCCTTATGATTATTTTAGCAAGTTCCTACGCTTGTATGTGAAGTTCCTTACTGACCCCTTATGATTATTTCAGCAAGTTCCTATGCTTGTATGTGAAGTTCCTTACTGACCCCTTATGATTATTTTAGCAAGTTCCTACGCTTGTATTTGAAGTTCCTCTCTGACCCCTTATGATTATTTTAGCAAGTTCCTATGCTTGTATTTGAAGTTCCTCTCTGACCCCTCATGATTATTTTAGCAATTTCCTACGCTTGTATTTGAAGTTCCTGTCTGACCCCTTATGATTTTTTTGCAAGTTCCTACACTTGTATTTGAAGTTCCTCTCTGACTCCGTATGATTATTTTAGCAAGTTTGTAAGTGTTGTAAACTGATGAGTACTGTCCCTTGGCTTGATACAGTTGATCAGATCTAAGATAGATTTATCAGTCTATATGTGAAGTTTTTTTCTGACACTTGAGGGTTATTTTAGTTTCTACGCCTCTATTTGAAGTTTTCTTCTGCTACCTTATGATTATTTTAGCAATTTTCTTCATAATGTGAAATTTCTTTCTGACACTTTGACATTATTTTAGTAAGTTTATACTCCAGTGCATGTGAAGTTCCCTTCTGACGCCTTAGGATTATTTTAGCAAGCTTCTACACTTTATTGTCAAGTTTGCTTTTAATTGACACCTTGGGATTATTTTAGTGAATTTTTACTCCTGTAAGATCATTATTTTTAAGTCAGTAAACTACTTTAACAAACATATAAAAGATTTAATATAACTACTAATCTATGATAATTAAAACCTCGTTAAAATCAATTATGACCTAAATAATAACTTTTTATTAGTACGTCAACAGTTCACACACATATCATTTTAACTGGTCTTTATATATTCTGTAATTATGATAATATCTCTGTTGAGAACATTGTCAGTGTTAAAAGCTTTGTGTACTTATTGTTATAGGCAATAATTACAATGTTTTGGTAAGCAAACAGATTCTTTATGGGGATCCATTAATAATATAATTTGATGAAGAAAATGGTGAATAAACATAAGAATGATATTAGGAATCGAAAGCAATTTAGCTATTGTTTTGTCTAAACAATGTTACAAAACCCTGATATCTTTCAGGGAGGGAAAAAGAAGTTAAATTGAGATAATATCATAACAATAAAAAGACATATTAGATATAACATGTAAGAATAGGAAATTTCACAGCTTATGACTTCAACAATAAATAGAATCCCCTTCTATAAAGAAGACCCTCCTGAACAGCCCATTATGAGAGCAAGATTGGAACAATTCATAACATATACACCACATGGCTGATTGCAAACTCCTCCTATGAACTTGTGCAGTACATCAGAGTCCAACAGTTTTTTTTCTTTGACATTAGTTTGTATGTTGCTTCATCATTTGATGTACAGTTTATGAAGTTAACAACCAGCAATGATTTTTCAATAGTACAAACAAAATATTAAAGAAATATGCAGAAAATCAGATACCTCAGCAAATTACACTAGGCAGCTGACATTCAAGATCTCCAAAAAGGAAGAAAACATTTCAACTAAGATAAACAATATAGAGCAACATATACATGTTATGATAAACAATATAGAACAACATTTCTCTAATTCTTCGTCAATTTATCCCTTTCTGCACCCATTGTATAAAAATATTTTAATCAACGTGTGGTTTGTTTGATCTCAGTTCTTCATTGGTTAAAATCCGATTATGACGTCGAATTTTCTTGCTTTCCTCTGAATTTCCTATTGTGACGGCATGAAAAAAGGCGACCATGCCTGATGACGTCACATAGAAAGAACACATCTTCTTGCAGATCATTCGAAAAGGAATAAATTTGCCTGTGTATTGTTTGAAAATCATTAGAGAAACAGATTCCACCACCAAATCTCAAGTAATACGATATTTATCCACTATCAACAGTTAAATTTCAAAACGAGCCTCGCGTTTTAAATATGAAAATTTAACTGTCTTGAGTGGATAAATATCGTATCACACTCGATGCAGTGGTAGAATCTATATATATATGTGTTATTTATCACAATACAGTAAAGGCAAACCACACTATTGATTTCCACATCACCATACATGCATATGACAGTCTTTGCTGCTCCTTTAATAGAAAAGAAACTTTAAATTTACTGATATAATGCATATGCAAGAGTTGGATAAATTCTGTTGAAACATTATATGTCAGACTTGTACCAGCAATGGTTCAAATACAAGACTTTTTTTCTCACATTTACAACACAACTAAAACTTTATGTTCAGTTTATGTGCTGATCAGAGTTTACAGAAGGCAAATTTAATTAATTTGGAAGTAACCTATAGATTATTCATCAGAGTTTAATATTTTCATATATAGATATATGAAATGTGGTAGTACAACAAAGTTAAATTTATATTATCCTTTGGTGATAGAAATGCAAGTACAGCAAATATTCTGTAAAGTAAAATGAAATGGAAATAAAATGAATTTTAAGTCAAACAACCACTGTATCTCCATATTGAAAAGTTACACATAATTTTATAGATCACTATATAGTATAACTTATGCATGAGAGAACTGTACCCATTCTGATGTAGTCTTTCTATTTCTTTTCATTCCCAGAGGGGCGTCCAGAGGGGCGTCGTCAGCTTGCCGGTAATTATTTATTGTGAATTCATTTGATGACTTTGTATTCCTTGTAATGACTTGTCAGATGCTTTAGGTTTAATAGCTTTATACATATTACTGAACATATAGCACTGTGATTGTAAAACCTATGGATTGACCTCTCTTATTGTCAAAGATCGTTATATGATTTTTCATGTGATATATTTTTTTGTTAGAGTAATCTTTTTTTGATAAGTGTTCCAATGAACTAAAAACTGTGTAATATTTATTTCTTTTTAATATGTTCAAGTACAAATTTAATGTAAGAGAAATTCTTTAAGAAAATAGAATGAGATAGAAAGCAGATTAAGCATAGAATATTTTTTATTTTGATATAAGTATGCCTTTGACAAGTCATTGTATTTGAAAAAAAAGTAATATTAATAGTGTAGAGTGTCTTTGGATTGTAATTAACAATATAACTCCATTTTAATCAAATCTAATATTCATTTGTATGATGTAACTTGTAACAGACAGTCTGATTAAAACCAATGTAGAGGATCAATTCTGATAATGTTGGCAGTCATGTTTATCCTGGAGCTTAAGAATTTATATATTCTGTCCTTGCAAACTTTCCTTATACACAAACTGCAATGTAATATCAGTACTTGGTGGTATATAGTTAACTCTGTGTCATTGTCATAGTTTCATCTGAAAAACCTATACATACAACAGTAACCTCCATTATAGAAAATAATATGAAAAAGGGTAATTTTAAGTTTTCTAGATTTTATACTTTTTCCATTATAAATCCAATATGATTATTTAACAACAAGTTGCACTATAAAAGGTCATTTACTGTTATTTATGCAAATGTTACAGTTGGATTTAACAGTATATACAGTCTTTTCTAATTTTGTTGCTGTAGTAACTGTTATATTTACTTATTTCATCCAACTGCTGATCTTTCTTTTCATAGTTTCATAATGGATAAAGGCTTGTCATCTGGGTGTGGTACTTTTTCATTTTGAGACATCGTACTTTGAATGGAAATTTTCTTTGGCTGCTTTAGAGTTTTTGTAATTTCAGGGCTATGTAGATTATTTGGAAGTGATGACTTATGTATTCAGTGTTCTGGAATAGATTCTGTTTACACTTCTGTTTACACAAGTTCCCTACCCTTTGTTGATATGTAAAAATTATAGCTAGTTACCTATGAAAGGGGAATACAACTATGGCTTATGCAAGAATGATAATTATCTTGCAAACTGTAAAATGTTTCATAAAAAAATTTGAATTAAAAACAGCTAGAAATTTTGGACTTTCTCTGCCATGAAATATTCATTGTCATTTAACCATTATATGCATTATTGTTTTAGGGGATAATGGTAAAAAAAGTAAGTATGACTATAAAGAATAAATTGACTTCCTGTGTGAGGATTATGGGATATATAGGTTTCTATATTTAAGCATATAACCAATTTTCAACCATCTAACAATCAATTTATTAAAACCAATATTACACTATGGAAGCAGAATCATCTATGAAATGACACTAGCTGTGATTAATATCACTTCACTATATTTGAACATTGGTGGATACCTTTTCTCATTGGCAACCATACGACATCTCCTTATTTATATATCACTATTCAAAAGAATATCATCTCTGAACTGCTCCACTGTTAGTTTAAGTATCATGAATTAAGCATGCTGTTGGATTGGTATTCCTTAAATTGAAGGTGCATATAAATAAGGAGACTTTTTACCACATTGAAGTTCTTAATGAATTGCTATGCGATGTTACAGTTCTTAGAGACCACTGTTTACATAGTGTTATTGTTAACCTAACACTTTCATCTGAATATATTATACATAAATTATTATGGCCTGAAGATCAATAATTACTACACTCATGTCTTGCAATATCTATACCAGTTATTGCATACAAGATTTATGTAGTGCATGCAGTGCATGTAACATTATGCTCAACTCTGTAGAAGTGAATGTGTACTTATAGTACACTCAGAGCTTTTATTATAATTCTGCTGGTAGAATTGAAGACTTGTTACAAAACATATATAGGGACATTTAGTGACAGTATTGTATAATCATGCACACAGTTTGTGTTGTATTTGCAGTTTAAATTTTCACAAACATAAGATATAATTTTTCATCAATTTGTAGTGAATGTGATATGTCTCATGGATTAAATCAAATTATATCTTATTATGAACAATTTACTTTGACTTATATTTTTCATATAGTATTTAATATTTCCCTGCTGAATTTACATGATGGTTAGAAATTTCTCATCCATTTGTTTGTTAGTAAGCCTCTCATTTTAAAATTTTTAATTGTCAGCTCAGATCTTAAACAATTTAAAAGTAATGATAATTTTTGGATGTATCCTGGTCAAAAGGAAAGGTCAGTATTTAGTCAAGTCTGGGGTGGTATTCAGCCCGTCTTGTCTGAAACCAAACATAAGAATAACAAGTCATTGGTATAGTGATCAGGACCTTTGTTATATAGAATACAACCTTAAGGTGCTGATATTTCATTAGTAGATACAGGGAATAGAGACAACCTGATCAATTTGACCAGTATTATTTTCATGAGTGTCTCCAGGTAAGTTCTGCAATAAAGGTTTTATCTCTTGACAAAAGATTCTTTGTATAATTGATATTTACTGAGTGAAGTTATAATAAAAGTTGAGATGAAAATTATACAAACTATTTTTGGATTAAAATGTTGGCAGATACTTATTATTTTTTTTTAATTATTATTTTGACCGTATTATTAGAAATATAAAAAAAGATATAGGCATTATCAAATGTATATTTCTGAAATAATTACATGAAAGAATCAAATATATATTTTTTTGTCTCGTCTGAAAATTGCAGTGTGCAAGACATTGAGATGCATATCTGGCAGCACAAATGAGGTAGTTAACTTTTTCTATAAATTTTATATTCCAAAACAGTGGAAGAGATGGATATTTCATATCTTGTATACAGCTGCCTCATGTTCTAAAGTTTATATCTGACATATAACCTTTGTTTTTGACCTCATTTTCATGGTTCAGCAACTGCTTTAAAATACTATGTATATTTTTTTTTAACATATTAATTTCTCATGTATTAGGAAATGGGATTTAGCCTCATTTTCATAGTTCATTGGTCAATGTTGATTTTTTTTTGTGGTAAGGTCCATTTCAAGCAATGATAATGTCTATATTTGGTTTATGGAATGATTGTAGGGAGTATATGTCAGTCAAATGTTGGTCAGTGTTTATTCTATAAAGGGGGGTTAGCGTTATTTTTTGTCTTTCTATGTGTTCTTAGACAATGGCATTGTCATCTATACATTATCTTTTAGCATCCTTGGAAACTGCAAACTTGTTAATTTTAGTTGAAACATGTATTTATGTTTATATTACTTTAGTTTCTTAAGTGAATTCAATTAATCCCTAAAGATGTTAGGATCCTGTGATAAGATTGAAACAAAGATTATATGTTAAAATGTTTGTGATCTTTTATTTCTAAATAGTTAAGCTTGTGCCTGAACGAGTGACACTGCAGTATAAGTAATGTAAACATTGATCTTGGATGTCAAGTACTGAGGTCTTGTTCAAATTATCCAGTGTTTGTTTAGGAAATTGACTTAATATATTAAACAAATTACCAGTATTTTCACTGTATTTATATATTTTGAAGTATTGCAGGAATGGATAAACCTCATTGAAACATTTTTTGTTAAAATGTATACAATCTAATATTACAGTAGGGTTGTGATACCTCATTGGTTAAAATATTATGTTTTTTTTTTTATTTGTAACTACATGTAGTTAAATTTAATTTGGCAGTGAAACACTTTCCAGTGGCAATATCTTTCATATTTTTGATGCCCTTCATAGAGTGGTTGAGGCTATAAATTTATCCATATAAGAATACGGAGATGTGGTAATTGCCAAAGAGACAACAATCTAGAGACCAAATGATGTGGATGTAATCAGCCTTAAGTCACTGTACGATTCAAAAGAGAAAATAGAATATGACAAACAGCAACCCATGACAACCACTGAATTAAAGGGTCCTAACTTGGGAGTCAGGCTTGAAGGCTGTACTTTGACCTGTAATGGTTTACGTTTACTAATTGTGACTTGGATGGAGAGTTGTCTCATTGGCACTCATACCACATCTTCTTATATCTTTTATAAAGAATGTTGCAGGGTTAAACATGTTTGTGATCACTCAACCCTCTCCTAACCTGGAACAGTGGTGTTACAGCACAACATAAGAATGAGCTATCAAAATCAGATTGGCACAAAATTTATCCATGTTTGTCCCTCTGAATTATTAAGGTTTTCCACACTCCTAAGATCTCTTTGTACAAATGTGGTATGTAAATTATTTCCATCATAGATGTATGTTTACTTGTTCAATTTTTATCATTTTCTCTGAAACTGCTTGATCAAAATTAAATCAGTACAAATTCATGACCAAATACACCCTGTTACACAGTAGTAAATTCTTTCCTTAATATTACAATTCATCAGAATTAAATATAATTGCTCTCTTGCCTGTAAAAGAACATAAAAAAAGAAAATTAGATAATAAATGAAAGTATGCATTTAGTAATTTGAGCTCTTTATTTTTAGATTTAATAAACGGTATATTGGTGTTGATAATTTAAAAGTTCATCTTAGAATTTTCTGTGGATATTCAGTAAAATCATGTAATTGAAAAGTAAATTGATGAACTGCATGCTATTATTTTCTCAATTTGGTTGATGGAATAGATTTTTTGTGGTTGATTAATAGATGGTTTTTGTTCTACATTATTTAATTTCTGTTAAGTATAACTTTAAACACATATTATATTTGTTGGTTAGTAAGTGCAAAAAAAAGAGGTAGAAAGAGGTAAGTAGGTAAGATGTTTTAAGTCAGGAGGAGTACTTAACCTTTGAAAAAGCTGGTTCAAATAGGGTTGATTTAAGGTCTTTTAAAAATGATATTACAATAATCTATCTGAAAAAAAACTCAAGCCTTGAGTTAGTGGAAAACAAAAGTTGTATGAATTGAGTCAATCAAGCAAATAACTAAAGTCTGAAGGAACTGTTATTTGCCAAGTGAATGTTTTATTTCATCTGCTTTTGCTTACACTTAAAGGTCAAAAATATATCTATACAGGTACACACTTCATTCCTCATACAAGGATTCCTGTATGGGGACAAATAAACAAAACTGTGTTTTAACATGTCCCTTTGAAATTTACAATATGACCAACTAGTATAAATTTTACTGTCAATTAGGATCTGTTTACAGTTGACCATCAGTCAAGGACTAAATCAAGTTAATTGAATGATAATACCCAGATTTGTACAAACAATTTGTTGACTTTCAATATTATCAGTGATATACACTACAGTTAGGGTGGGGTTCTATCCATTTACAATGATAAGTAAATAGCAGTATATATATTTTTTTTCATTTTCCAATCAAGCATCTTTAAAAATCATATAAGGGCAGTTAAAGACATCCAGAGTTCAGCAACAGGTCAAAGTAAATTGTGTTTTTTTTTGGTAAAACCAAAAGATCAAGTCTTTCAGGGGTTTTTATACAGGAATCACTCTGTCCCTCTATCGTCTGTCCCATTTTCTGTATATGCAATAAGTATCTGACTTTTAAAGGCTTTCTTTGTGTTAATGCTGTTATTATTGTTTCTCACCCCAGAGCTGGAGGCAGTGTCTCAAATAAGGTAGGAAAGTCGGCAAGGTCAAGGTCACAAACATAGTTTCAAATTTCTGTATAAACGTTAATTTTTCGTGGGGTTAAAATTTCCAGGTTTAGTCTTTAAATTCAATTTCATGGGGATTACTTTTCCTTTCTTGAAGTAATAATGTGAAAGTAATTTTCTTTGTAAGTTAAAATTTCGTTGGGTTTTATATAATTTCAAGGATGATATCCAAATAAACGAATAAAACTGCATAGTTTAGGCCACAAGCATATTTCAAATGTACACAGTAATAATGTACTACTCATGATGCTTGATAAGCAGAATACAAGTTGATGGGTATTATTTTATGAGCTTAGCCTGTTGTACCTCTCATACATTTCAGCTTGTGAAAGTAGCAACTATTTGGAATATCCAGGACTTCAGCAAATTTAAAGGACCTTATCCTACTTGTATAAACTTTCATTTGTGTTTGTTGTAAATAGTTTTAGTATAATGAGTATCTTATTTGAACCTGATTTGACCATTTTCGTAAATGAAAAGATACCTAGTCTCAAACATTGCCTAACAATGAGTTCAAAAACATTCACAAGAAATTGTATCCCTCATAATGAAGACATTTATTATATATAGTTGAAGAATCAAGGTTTGATTAAATCTGG